ATAAAATCAATTTCAATCATTCTATTACATCCATAACATTATCTCTTCTTCCGTGTACTGTGTTCTTTAAGGACTTAGGCGATCATGGATCAACACAACTTCCTATTTTTGTAGCTCTTTATAAATATTCTTTTGTTGTTATTTCTCCTAAAACTTGTTTCGCCATCAGTTTACTCAAACTCACTAACTACGTGTTGCGTTGTGTTCCTCCGTCCCTCTTGCCTTCAATCTGTTCTGAGTGTATCAAGATTTCCAAGGAATCTTTCCATATTATGTGCAATAGAAATTTCAAATGTCACTTCTGGATATTAAGTATAAATCTCCTTAGGCTTTCGTTTTCTCTAAAATCTTTTTGCTTACATAAACAGTTCATGATATATACAGTATCCTTCTGTAGAACCACATTTTAATTGCTTCAAGTCTCTTGTTCCTCTTTGAGGAGACTGTCCAGCACTCACTGCTATAAAGGGGGACATATATCACATAAGAGTTTAGCACTCTTTTCTTTGGTAGTATCGTTTTTTTTTTCTATTTCTACTGCTAGGATTTTGGCTGCCCCAGTTCGTCTTCGGATTCCAGTGTCGCAGTTTCCGTCCTCTGTTAAAACATTCCCCAGGTATGTTTATAATTCTTTGATTTTGGGAACTCCGATTTGCAATTCAAAAATTAAGTTCCTCCTTTTGCTAACAACCACGTCTTCCTGCAGATGATGTCTAATCCTTTCTTCTCAACTTTCGTCACTACATTCTGCAGGTTTTTTGGTTGTTATATTTCCCTGTCTGCTATCAACACAGTGTCATCTGCATATCTTATAGTGTTAAGATTGTAGCCATAAATAATGAATCCTGAAGCTCTTTTAGTTCTCTCCTAACCGTCTCGCACGCTGGGTTGAACAGGTCCCATATTCTTATTTTAATAGAACAGCAATCAATTCCGAAATAGTTATCTGCTAAATCTTTATGTCTTGAATAAAACCCACTTATTTTACGAACTCTTTTTTTCATTGTGGAGAATCGATGAATGCGATTGGGAATTGTTTTTTTTTTTAATTTAGTGGAATTTTCAACGAGTTAAAATGCTTTTGCACCTGGTACATAGAAGGTAGCAAATATATTCTACATTTTAATTCTTATACAGGGTACAGCAGAAATGCCTTACACAGAAACATTCCAGAAGTTCCTCACACATAATGGTAATACATTAATGACAATTGTATCATCATCTAGTGACTTACCATAATATGGAAGGTATTTCTGGGATGCATATGATTAACGTATTTCTGCCAAAACCTGTATGTATCCAGAAGTATTAGATCTTTATTGTAATTTTAAAGAAATCTTATCCCACCATCGATGATGTAAGGTTCAATATAAAATACAAGATTGAAGCGTATACAATACCGACAAACAAATACCGTCATAATTCGAGTCCAATTCCTCCCCCAGTTCACAACCGATTGGAGGTCTCGAAAAAGACCTCCAATCAGTTGTGAACTGGGGCAGGAATTGCCTGGTCAACTTTAATGCCTCAAATACAAAACTGCTCTCCATTAATCACCACAGAGACCCTTCCATGCCCTCCATTAGAATGTCTGACGCTCAACTTCTCGAGAGCACCTCTCTGCGGCTGCTCGGTCTCACGTTGACTACTGACCTGAGATGGAACAAATACATTGAGTCAATTGCTTCGTCCACCGCAAGGAAGGTTGGCTCTCTGTGCCGCGCCAGGAAATTTTTCTCCCCGGAATCGATCCTCCAGATCTACAAATCAACAATTCGCTCATGCATGGAGTATTGCTGCCATATATGGTCTGGAGCCCCTTCTGTTTTCCTCGGGGTTCTTGATAGACTCCAGATGCGGATATACAATATAATTGGCCCTGTTCTGGCATCTCGTCTACACTCACTCTCTCACAGACGCGCCGTCGCCTCTCTCTGTCTTTTTTACAAATACTTCCATGGCAATTGCTCCGAGGAACTGCATTCGCTGGTTCCTTCGTGAGTTCAAGCGCCCTAGGAGGCTGGCATCCCGCTCTCACCCTTTCACTGTCGAGACTCATAAATGTTGCCGTCTCTTCTATTCCAATAGCTTCATGTCTTGCACCTCTCGCCTGTGGAACTCCCTTCCCTATTCGAGTTTCTGTGAGAGCTATAATCTCCAACTATTCAAATGTAATATCAATCGGCATCACCAGTTGCCTTGATCTATCCACTATCCTTCTCCTCTTTCTTTCCTCTATCACTTCTATCCGATCTTGCTCCAAAACTTCTGTAACTCCTTGCGTCCTAGTGGCTTCTCGCCTTGTTTGGGGTGAAACGCTTAAAAAAAGTAAATAAATAAATAAAAAACCCAGACAGGTATAAACCATGACTTGAAAACGAAAAGACTAGTAATTATGGTGCTTTTCTAACCTTAGATGTGACATAAGGCCGAAAGGAAAGATCCAACTCGCTATTCACTCGTAAATGTACTCGCAAGAAAAGCTTGATAACATTACACA